AACTCTCAGATGACAGTGCTAGTATCTATCTAGCTGAAGTCGATGGTGGTGTTGTTGAAGTTGTCAATGTTGTTACAGTTAGCTATTTAGGTGTCAAAAGCGTATTCCACTCTTGCTGAAGTCGATGAGGTCAAGTTATTCCTAAAAATTGTACATCCATAAAATTGTACCTCCTTGAACATATATTATCTTAGTGATTCGTTACAAAATATTTACACCGTGTTCGATTGCATTACGCATAAATGCCATTTATTTCGGACCTCTATCCCCTACATCTTTCTAAGAAGGCATATGATGGTATTGTGTCATGTTCTGGTAGTATTCTGTTATCGCAGGTATTAAATCTCATATGACAATGCATATGTATCTTGTCTAGAAATTATCATTACTTTTCTCAAGATATTTTATATTTATTATACATATATAATATTTTCATGAACTGTGATATCCACAATTATCCATGGATAATAATCTCTCTTTACAATTTCAACCAACTTGTTAACATTCACACGTATACTGACATTATATGTGAAAAAGTACGACAAAAAATGGATGACGAGAAACAATAAGTGGTAGAAAATGATAGTCAAGTCGTGAAAAACATCTACAAAACAAGCAACACGTCGTTTTGTTCACCGTAAATAATATTCAATTTTTTATTTGCCATGTGTATAACTTTTGTTGTACAAATAGCTTGTACTTAAGTTAACACTAGTAAATAGTAAATAGTAAATACTAAATATGAGTATGCAAAGTTGTATTAATATAATTTTTCAATAAAAAAGTTCAGCATGAAAAAATTTCTCAATCTTGTTCACTCACTATCTCAAATAATATCATGGTATCACAGTGTTGTTCATCGTGCTAGATCTGTATTTTTTTCCTATAGTAGCTACAAAGGAATCAATATACCGTTTTGATTCACTACCAACATAATTAAATTTCATTGTTTATTTTTTCATGTGCATAGCTTTTATTGGACATATAGCTTTTAATTAAGTTAACGGTTAGTAAATAGTAAATAAGAGTATTTAAAGTTGTATTTATATACTTTTTAATGAAAATCTCAGAATGAAAAAATTTCCAAATCTTGTGATCTCTATTTCAAATCTTATCATTGTACTAGATTACAGCCTAACTTATTGGTGGTCGCAAAAGGTATCATGTTATTGTGGTTGAATTAAATATGAAAAAATATATTAAAATATATTAAATTAAGATACAACTATGATTAATGTAATAAATTTGGCCTCGATTTTCAAAAACTAACAATAAGGTCTAATTAACTAATGAAAAAAATAGCATTTGTTTGAACTGAAACCAAATGACAGGCTTACAAAATTATTCACACATAACATATCTAATAAATCGTATGCCGTTAAGATAAAATTGGTACTTAACCTTGATATTCTGCTATATTCATTATAAGTACAATTATTTAGATGTTCAATTTTATGTTAACAATATTGAAGTGTAGTTAAATTGGATTGAATGGTTTATTTGTAAGATTATATTTTATTATTAAAAAGAGCACTATACAAAATTTCAAAATAAAAAATTGGACACACGACGAGGTTGTAATTTTTTTGTGTGAATAAGGGATTTTATTGCATCAATACGATCATAACACCACGCAACACCAATACAATGACAAGTCACTTAACAAGTGCAAGTACAGGGAGACTCTATAGCTCACACTCTAACATATTGCCAATACAAAGAAGCTGTTAGGTCCGATGCAAAAACAGGAGACCCTAAGCACGCCATCCTTACTATCTCCTTCATCCTTTCCACTAACTCTTCAACTCGTAACTCCTTCTTGCCAAAGAATCGTCCGCACCTTTCATGCCAAACCTCACTTACCCCCAATGTCCATTAGAATCGTCTTATAGAATCAGATTCAAACTTTTGTAAAGCTATCTTAACTCCATTCTACCAATCACTAGTTGTAAGATACTTGCTCCCCCGGAAACACAGATTGTAATACTTGATGTACATAGCCACACGTGAAGAACAAGTGGCCTTTAGACTCCAATTCCCTCCTCCATGATGGCCAATCTCAATTAAAATATGGTTTCCATTTCTGCACTGTATTTAATGTGGTGATTCTGTCTGACTGAACATGCCAAATTATTAAGGAGTTAGGGATAGAATATTGCTTCCATATCAAACCAAGCAACTTTAACTATTTTTGGTCTAAATGATTCCCAAACCTAGTGGATTCTAGACTTTGGCATAAGTTGATTCTTCCATCTTACTTCGTTGCCACATACAGTCAAAGATGCCCTGGCTTTAGGTATGCTTTTCATCGTTTGATTCAACGACCAAGATCCTTTTGTTTGAATATCCCAAATGCTCAGATTCCTCAATCGATATTCCTTCAATCAAGCCACTCACAAAGTCTTTTTATCACTAAGAAATACCCAAATGTGTCTCACGAAAAAAGATAGGTTCCAACTGTAGAGATCCTTGAAACCTAAGCCTCTTTCTATTTTGGGAAGAGCTACCAATGACCAGGTGACCTTAGCCTTCTTCTTCCCTTCATTAGTTTGCCACATGAATTCAAAATACTACTTTTCTACTTCTCTGGCAGTGGGAAAACATTCATCTCGTAATGTGCAATGCTAGCAAACACATCTATAATCAGCTAAATCTTTCCGACATAGGATAACAACCTAGATTTTCATCCTTATTTTGGTGGTTCAATCCACTAAATGTTTAAAGTATACCACATTCAACTTACCAGCCACCAAATGAACTCCAATATACTCGAATGGCACTGACCCTTCCTTAAAACTAGACACTCGCATAACGAATTCTTTCATATCTGCACTTATACAACCACAAAAATCTCACTTTTACTTGGATTGAATCTTGATCCTGAAATCTTATAGAACCGATTCAATATTTCAGCAACTGTTTGCACTCCTTCCACCTCCTCCTTAGTGAATATTAGCAGATCGTCTGCAAAACCCATTTATTTAATCCCCACTCTAGCACAATGTGGGTGATATAGAAGTACTTTCCTGTTTGCAGCTCTATTCATCATACATTTTAGAACCTCCATTTGTAATCGCAAATAGGTAGGGAGAGATTGGATCTCCTTGCCTAAGGCCCTTCTTTGTTGGAAAATTGTCTATTAAGTCTCCATCAAAGCAAACCAAAAAAAGTGGCAGAAGCCAAACATTTTTGAATCGTATTAGTGAACTACAAAGGGAATTCCATAGCTCTCGTCATAGCTCCCAAGTAGCTCTAGTAGACACTTTCAAAAGCCTTCATGATACCTATTTTCATAGCACATCTAGGCGACACAGTTTTCCTTTAACAATTAGCTCTTGTCCTTCTTCATATCGAACACAACTTATCTAATCTCCTCAACAATAACAGTAGCACACTGCACACATACCCTAAGCCAACTCCCCAGGGAGTATATGAGCCAATAATTGTTCTAGCATGTGGAGAGGAACCTATTGGACTTGTTTATTTTCAACCCCAAACAAATCTTCATAGAATGACATAGCCTCCTATCCCATCTCTTCAACTATTGTCAAGATTTTCCCTTCAACACTAACCAGTTGTCTTAGTGATGAAAGCATCGAACCTAATCTCATCTTGCTCCCATTACCATCTATCCCATGTGAAGATGTTTAACATCATCAACAAAATGGAAAAGATAGGCACGACTAACTTCCAGATTATGCTTGCAGTATCGATGCCCCAGATACAGGGCTCTCCTACGGCTTCTCATGAAATATCACTCATGATCTCTCCTTATTACTATCTATCCCAGTTGGGCTCATTTTCTGTCCTGCATGGGGTCTTAAATCGGGAGGACGAGAGGATTTCCCTAGTCCCGAAGCTTGCGAGGCTGGCTGTTCGACTTCCTCATTCACCGTCATATTTTGAGCACGTGAACTGCTATTTGAATCGGTTACAACAGTCTCAAAGCGACTCATCGGGAAATCCTTAGTTATCACGTTGGGCTGCTCTTGTTGGTTCATCAGCGGATGTTGATACATGCTTTTTCGCTCTTGCTAGTTCTTTCACGTGGCATATGCTTCACTACTTCTTTTGGCTTGTCTATTTTATGGCTCATCACATGGTTGTCTGGTCGTGGCTTTAGAATTGATCCCCCAGAACCACTTCCTACATCCAACCCTCCCGCCATCCTTGCCTCCCCATTGTTCACCTCCAAGACACTGAATCGCGGCCCTGGAATGTTGCCAATTGTGTCTTTTGCTACCTGGGGAGTTAAATCTTTCCTAACCTTTGATTTCCTTTTCGCAATCATCCATTCTCCGTATACCACGTTTATTTCCATAGGACTCGGATTTGACTCATTCACCACGACCTCCTGTTCAAGTTGCTCAGCAGTCTTCACACATCAGCATGTTGACCTCTCAGAATAAGTACCGCATTTCAAACAAATATGCTCCAACTCTTCATACTAAATAAAATATTTAACCCCGTGAATCGAGAATTGTGAGAGAAAGGGCTTGGTATTATTCACTTATATGCGCACACGAGCATAATCACTTCGAGCTCCCGAATTTTTGGCATGATCTACCCGTAGCGGAGTTCCAATATGCCTCCCTATCTTCATCACGATATCAAGATGGAAGTATTGGATGAGGATGTCAAGTATCATTGCCCAAACTAGAGTCGAAGTAATCTCCGGTAAGAGCTCGCTCATAGTCTATGCCATTCGTAAAAAGCACCTAGAAGTAGCCATTTTTCATCGATGTCACTGAATAGTCCCTGCTTTCGGCCATATGACAGTGAGTCTCTTCAAGATATGCATTTACGATACTGGCTGGCCTAACACTTTGACCACCAGCACGGAGCGCCACTCTCGGCAGACCGTCTTTCTTCGGTTGCCGTAAAATGAATCCTGACACGACCCAATCCTTTTTGAAAACCAAACCATAACTCAACCCACAAAACGGTTACTCCGAAACAACCCAAAACAGGTTTACAAGTGAAAACCGAAAATCAATAACCACAATGTTTTAGATTTTCAAGTGAAATGCCCTAAACACTTGGGCGACCTCAACCCTGAGCAAACAAAACATAAAAAACACAATCCTTGAGTTTCCCACTTTACTCATTAAGACATGAAACTAAAGACAGATATATGGGAGGTCCCAACCTCGTTACCCAGATCCAGTTGACATCTTCAGGTTTGCCGGTGCTGCTCTCCTCGAGTAACCTCCTCTTGATGGGTGCGTCATCTTCCCCTCTTTGCACCTGGTGAGTGAGAAGGGTTTAGTCTCGTCGTTACTTCCTAAGGTCTTCGCCCTAAGAAACTCCTTACTAAACACATTATTCAGTTTCTTGACTTAGACAAAAGTCATTCTCGTTTTCATCATTTATACTTTGTTATCAAACTGTCTATAAGGGGGCCGGATAGCATAACAACACTCTAAGTGTTGTTATAGTAACAACAAGATTCATTAAGGGTAAAAGGGTAAACTAACACAAAATAACAAATTAAAATTAAAAAAAAAAATCAATCTCCAGCCTTCCCCTCTCCGTCTCTCGACATAAGAGACGGCAACGGACTCTGGAAGAAAACGACTATGTCGTCGAGGAAATCAGACGGGATGGACTAGAGAAATCCGACTCCCAAAATCCGGCGCTTTTCCTCTCTGAATCAGCAATAATCACTCCTCTGCTGCTCTTCCGTGACTCATGTCTCTTTCCGCTCGTCTTGTTCTGCAGCTGAGCCTCTTTTTCCCTCCAAGAGCTCCGCGATCATGGCGGCGCCGGGTGTGGACGATCTCATCGAGGCTCCCATGCTGCCCCCTCCAACTCGTATTTGTCCAATTCTCCATGTCCTGCAACTCCGCCGCTCTTCACCCCTCTCAAAATTCCCGACCGTGAAATTCATTCCGAACTAAAGATGCTTCGTTGCTTCTCTCTCTCTCTCGTTTCTCATTCATTAGTTACGAATTGAATGGACAATTCAATAGCTTGCTTATGTCGAATTTAATTGTGTAGTTCCTGGGAAAATCTATTTGTCAATCTATTGAGATGTACGTGCTGTTTAATTTGGCTAATGATAGAGTACTCGTGGTCATATGTAGTTTGGTCATTGGTGAATATAGGTATGAACTTTGGGATTTTCTGTATGCTTTAGAAGGGTTTATGTATGCATTACAGTGTTCTATGTATTAATATTATTGTATTTTTAGTATTCAATTAGTATTCATCTCATAGTCATTATAAAGCAAAACATAAATATTTCTAAAGTATACCCAAAATATGATTATGCGAACCGTAAATCCCCTAAAGCATATAAGAAACACCACTTTACATACCAAAAATATTTCTAAGGCACACAAAAAACCTCCTAATGCAAACCACAAATCTCATAAACCACGCCAGAAACACAACAAAGCATACCACAAATTTTTCTTAAACAAACAAGAAATCTCCTAATGCAAACCACAAATCCTCTAAAATATACCAGAAATCCAACAAAGCAAACCACCAAATTTAAAAAACCACACCAGAAACCTCCGAATGAAAACCATGAGCACGATCAAACATACCACAAAAAAGCATACCAGAAACTTTCTAAGGCAAACCACAAGTCTCCTAAAACAAACCAGAACTCTCACAAAGCAAACCATAAATATTTTGAAAAGCACACCAGAAACACCCTAATGCAAACCACAAGCACGGTAAAACAAACCACAAAAGCAAACCAGAAACCTTCTAATGCAAACCACAAATATATTCAAACAAACCAGAAAACTTACAATGCAAACCACAAAATTTTTGAAAGCAAACCACAAACACGATAAAGCAAACCAGAAACTTCTTAATGCAAACCACAAACACGATAAAACAAACCACAAAAGACATACAAAAATATGAGAAACCAAACCATAAATCTCACAATGCAGACCATAACATCCGGTGGTCGTTGGCCGTTGACCGTTGACCGGTCAACAAAGACCGTTGGCCGTTGACCGGTCAACGAAGACCGTTGACCGAACTCCGATGACCGTCAGTGAGTAGATTCCGGCGCCGATAGGCATATTCCGGCCCCGATGACTAGATTCCGATTTCGGTAAGCATATTCCGACCGCGGTGAGCATATTCCGGCGACGGTGGCATATTCCGATGACAAAATAGCATATTCCGGCGACAAAAAAGCATATTCCGGTGACCGCCGACCAGATTCCGGCGACCGGTGGCCGAATTCCGGCGACGAAAATTTTGGGCCGAAAATAAAAAAAAATTAATTTTTTAAAAATTTTAAATTTTTTAAATTTTTGAATTTTTTATTATTATTTAAACATATTTTTCATAATGACAATTATACCCCTGCTTTGATTTTACACTAGGTCAACTCATCTAATAAAAAGTCATCACAATCCTAGCTTCCTATTGGTTGGAGACTAGTGTTGTTACAATAACAACACAAGGAGTGTTGTTACCGTAACTAGTCCCGTCTATAAGAGATCTCTACTCCTATCTTATCTTAGAATTCCCTTACTTATATTCTTAATCCATAGACACCAACACAAGGGACCACCGCGTTACATCTCGCTGTCCGGTGTCCCTACCCTAGTATGCAAACAGCGTAACGTCTCGCCGTTCGGTTGCATACCCAAGCTCGGCAATGGCATTGCGTTACGTCTCGCCGTCCAGTCCATGCCTGTCAACTACTGTGTTACGTCTCGCCGTCCAGTAGTTACCCAACCACCCGGGGGTTCATCAACCAACTATTACAATCATACATCCATACATTCATACATAGCACAACGCGTGCCTCCACGCTTACAGGCGGTGGGGTACCTCACACACATATCGCGCAAACTCATAAATTAACTAATTAATAACTTGAACGAAAAGCATAAAGTAAAAGACATACGATAGAGATTTTACCCCCTTTACATTCACCTTGAAAAGATGACTCCTCGATTCCTTCTTCGACGAAACCCCTCCTTAGCAGGATTATCTTGGGGAAACCTATTAATAAGAATCCATTTTCTTAGACGACCTTTCTTGATTTAAAACCCCTTTTGAATCACTAGAACATCCTCTCCTCAAACTCCATTCCTCGAGCCTCATTCCAAAGGTCCCTTAACCCCCATTAAAAATTTTCTAGAATTAATCCCTTCAACACCGGCCATTTTTCTTAATTATTTTTATCTTGGACAAACTTTTCACCTAACTAAAACCTTCTTAAAATTTCTAATAATAATTTTTCCATGTCTATCATGAGCACCTATAAACTAGAAAATTATCAAACCCTTAAAATCCCCTCGAAAATATTTTTATTTAATTAAAACGAATATTCAAAACATTTCTGAAAATAGAAATACATCTTCAAAAATCCCCAATTTAATTTACAGCCATCTCCTAGACCTCCCTCAATTTATAAAATTATTAAACTCAGGAACAAACACCCATAGGGACTCGAAACAATTAAAACATCCAAAAATACGTTTCTGGAAATTCCAAGCAGCTTTAGTGACCACCCAAAATCTGTCACTAAAAGCCTGTAACACCTGTAGCTAGAAACCCAGAATTGCACCCTCACGAAAAATCCTCAAATCAATCAACCTAACTCAAAGGGATCGAGTTCCCTTACCTCTAGAACGCGCCTAGGCCTAGGTTGGATGACCCGGGACGTTGATCTCCTCGTTGATCGAACCCTCAAACATCACCGCTAATAAAATACGAGCTTCGGATTAGACTATCGATGAATCGAGTTTAGAAATCGCGAAGGGGTTCTTGATCCTTACCTAGAAGCACGAAAGGGATGGGATCGAGATCGGGGTCAGAGAACAGGGGCGGTGGTGGGATTCTTCTTATTTCTGCCTCGCACTGGAATTGTGGCGACGGGGAGGGTTTTTTTCTCCGCTGATGCTTCACTCCATGGTGGGAAAAGGAATTGGCGGCCGGTTTCATAAAAGGTGAGGGGAGGGGTTTTGTTTAGTGGAGGCTCAGCCCCTAGGGCCGCCCCACTTTGTTTGCTTTTTTTTAATGTAATAATAATAATATTATTTTTAATCCGCGTTGTAACTCTTAGTACGTAACCGTCAATCCAACCGATCACGTATTAAGGTCGAACCTAAACCCAAAGGTCGGAGTGTTACATTTCCTCCACCCATACAAAAATTTCGTCCCCGAAATTTGGAACTGGAAAGATAATTACTTGGTCTAAAACTTTTGGTGTTTGACTGAAACTTCTCGCGCTAGAATATAACAAATCGGCTGACAGTTAGGGTCTTGTTCACCCTCAAAACAGGATTCCAAACCCTCTTTTCTCATGGCTTCACCGATGTCCTCCGAGTCTGAATCGACAACATACCACATACCCGTCTTCGCCGGCTCGCTAAACAGCTTGCGGGCAGCTCCCGCTCCCGTCCACCACACACAAGGTTTCAGGTTAGTCTCAGGAACACCCATGCATCTTCTCGCCAGTCTCTAAGTCCTCTGCTATCTCCTCTATTTACACATCCGATAAGTACTCACCATTGCCTTGCCGCGTTTCTTGGTTTGTTGAGGGACCATGATTCCGTCGGCAGCCTACGTTGACCCCTCATTGTTTCAGTGTTCCGACAGAGGCATAGCCACTGCCGACAAAGTTTGGCGTACAAAACCCTAGGTTTTCCTCCCAATCGCTTTCTCCCCTAGAATTTCAGAGCACTCTCTTTTACTTCGCTATGTATGAGAACTTTCACGTTTACCCTTTTATTTACCCCGATAAAATTAGTAAAACAAAAACCCGATTGGGAGCACTCTCTCAGAGAAATCGTCAATGTGCACATATTAGGATTCACAATGGTTTGACTCATTGATTAATTTGAATAAATTTTCAGGACTCCTATCGATATTGGATCAGACCCAAATTCATTTTTGATGAACTCATATGAATCAAAACTTAAATGGGTCTATCAAGTCCAGATGATTGGAAAAAAAAAAAAACAAAGACAATATCGACCATCTCATTAACTGAAGTCAAACCAATTACACATTTCATGTCGGTGGTTCTACCTTTCTGCTTGTTCATAATAAAAAATAAAACAGAAACTATATTAGCATAAGGACCATTTTATGTTGGATATGCAATGACATGGGTTTTGAGTACTATGATTCTGTAAAAAAAAAAAAAATTTACCCAAACCTGATTTGATCAATCATAAATTAAACTTGAGAAATACTCAAATAAGGGATGTTTTGTCAACCCAATACATGATCAATAGCTATAAGTAACATTAGCCAGCTAGCTGGAATACATTTTTTTATGGGTAGGAACTAACTTGAATATTGCTTTAGTAGTCATCAACACTAAATATGAGTCACCAGTCAGATGTAGTTTTAGAGTGACGAGGAGGCAATAGTAAATTGAAAATAACTTTCCTAGGTTTTTTTCAACAATATGTCGATAAAGTTCACAATTAGAGGAATTGAAAATTTAAATTATGGTTAATCGTTTTAAGTGTGATGGAATAATTAGACCAACTTGACCATTATTACAAGAGGCGATGAATATGGTCTAAACGACGATAATTTATCAAATATCCTTCATATTTATTGTTTTCCGGTGAGAAAACTTGGGTTGAAATCATTTTGATTTTATCTTGAATTTTTTGGAAAATGATTAACTTAACACAGTTCACACCTCTTCAAACAAAGTTCGAACAAGTGTGTTCGATGTTTACAAGAGTCATGAGATAGATCTACTTTAAGTTACTCCTACTCTTATTGAGGTTCAGTGAGAGCTCCAGATCTACGACTATGGCTAAAAGTTGCAGAGGAAAGATAAAAAGATAAAAGTTGACATTGGGTTGTTTAGTGTGAGTTTGGCGAACCCCTTCTCTATCAACTCCTCCTCCTATTTATAGCCTTGAAGTGGTAACCTTTGTAGAAAAACCGTCTGAGAGTAACTTCCAAAATCTTCCTCGGATGTGGCTGACGTGTGCTTGAACGTGGGATAATCGGCAGTTGTCCTATTAACCGTGTCTCTCTCTCTCTCTCTCTCTCTCTCTCTCTCTCTCTCTCTCTCTCTCTCTCTCTCTCCTCAGAACTGTCATCTTATTACTTGTCTCCTCTTTACCATGGCCATTCCAGATCCCAAGACAAGGGCTTTCTACATCTCACGAACGACATGGTGTCTAGATCTCGCGACCACCTTGGTCTATTAGACTTGACGACAACGTGGTCTAGATCTCGCGACCACCTTGGTCTACTAGACCTGAGGCCAACGTGGTCTAGATCTCGCGACCACCTTGGTATACTAGACTTGACGCCAACGTGGTCTAGATCTCGCAACCACCTTAATTTACTATACCCGATGCCAACGTGGTCTAGATCTTGCAACCACCTTGGTCTACCAAACTCGCGACCAGCATGATATAACTGACTCTCGGTGAAATTAGTTTATTCTCGGATACTTAGTGGCTTGGGCTTAAAAATCTAGTGCCATAAGGCCAAGTTAAATAACATTAATTGTTATTATTGATATGTCTTTATAAAGACAATAAATGCCTTGTGAATTATCAATATGGTACAAAGCTAAATTTAGGTGTAAGCAAATGCTCCCAACTACTTAGTGCATAAGAATTATGGACTAAGTAGTTGACACCACCATGCTAGACAACTAACTGTTTACTCAAATCACGTATGTATATTTACCTTAGCCAAAAATTTGACTTACGATGATCAAGCCAACACGGCTGGATGGAACTCATCATCAAAACTTTTCTCATGCCTTAGCCAAAATTTGGTTTTCATGTCAAGCCAACATGGCCGGATGGAACTCATCGTCAAAACTCGTTCAATGCCTTAGCCAACATTTGGCTTTCAGGATCAAACCAACATGGTCGGATGGAACTCGCCATCAAAACTCATTCCATGCCTTAGCATTGTCCCTCACTGTAACCCTCTTGAATTTCACTCAAATGCTCTCATTGCCACGTTCTCTCATCATGCCCCCAGATTATGGCTAATCGGGACAAGACAACGTGTCATGGCATTGCCTAATGCATGAATATTGACTCGGCATGTCAAGCCATCACAAAGACTTGGTGGCAATATCTTCATATCGAAGTCTAACAACTCCAACTCAACATTTTCACTTAGATATTTTCTCTTTATCTTGTCTCTTAGCCATGGTTGGCTACAATTTTTTCTATAAATAATATATAATAAGTGCATTATATGAATTTATTTATTTTATATGGAAAAAAGTGATAGACGTCACTTCTCTCCATAGCTTTTGGCAACAACCAATGCGCCAAAGGTGTACACCCACTGCCCAGTCCGTGGATCAAACCACGCAAACTATCCATAGACCACATGACTCTTTCCTTCTATGGGAGATGACTTTCCATATATTAATTTTGAATTTTCTAGCTTACTAAAGGGTGGTACATGGTCATCATGTCTAGTCTTGGTGTCCTTACATGGAGTCACATGCTCATCTGTCTTGGCAACCTTACATGTCATGTCAAGACGACCACGAGGTTTCCTCTGTCTTGCTTGCCTCCTACTGAAATTTGAGTTGGTAAGATCATCTTCAAGCATTTCATCATCGACATGGTCATCTAGACCACCCTCATTCTCGTCGTCTTCTTCTTCTTCTTCTTAGAAGTTGTCCTCAACCCCTTCTCGTACTTTGACATCACTCTGAACTTTGACCTGCTTACCTTTGTCAGTCACGTCCACTTTGAGCCCTATGGTCATGGAGTTGTCCACCTTGGGATTTGGTTTGAAGACTAAATTCTTGCCTCCATTGTGTCACACCCATTATGGTGCCACGAGCCATTGGTAATTGGCCTTGACGTGCTTGAGCATTCTTGTGAAGAAATCTTCTTCTTTGAGTCTTAGTCATCTCAGCTACTGCTACTGGTTGCTGACGACAGTCATTATATATATGCCATCCACCATGTGGAACATTTGGTATCTTGAATGTTCTCTTCTTTTGGAAAGGGGCATGGGAGACCAACTGTCTTAGTTGACCCCAAGCTGGCTGCCTCACTCCTTCCACATGTCTCTCATATGGCGTATACCTTGGTCTTTGCCTATTGGAAAAACTGATTCTTTGATGAATTGATGGCCTCGGCATCTCCTCATCGAGTTTGAGACTCTTCTTGCACTGGGCACACAACTTCTCAACTTCGTCGGTCATCATTGCTGCCGGGCTAACCTACTTGGTACCTGACGAGCTCCCTTGCTTGAAAACCCCGTTGGGGCTCCTTCGAGGCGGCATTCCAACACCATCTTGTAATGTGGAAACTCGACTTTGGAGAAGTCTGGGTTGACCATGTTGACGCCAAACACCTTGGGGAACGGATCAGTGTCCACCAACATGCATCCTTCTTAGCCTCAGGGAACTTGATACGTCCCTTTTCAACGACATCCTGCAAGACATTAAGGAACACCACACAAGCATCAGTGGCATGTGACATGCTATTATGCCACTTACAATACTTCTTCCCATTCAACTTCTCGGGTGGGGGAAAGACATGCCCCCTATCAACTTGACCTGACCATCCTTATAGAGTAGGTCAACTATCAAGTCTGCCTTCGAGAGATCAAGGGAGAGATTCCTCGGCTGATTGGGCGCACGATTGGGTCTCCCCCCTTGCGGCCCATTTTCAACTTTAGACAAGGAAGCACATATGTATGGCTTCCCTAGAGTTATCTCAGCCAAGTCTACCTCATTAGCCTCATGGCCAACATGATTGATGGTATAGTCTACGTTTGGGAAGTATGATCCTCTTGTGGCACTCCTATGATTATCTTCCTCATGTAGAAGAGACTCGTACTTAACAGCACAACACATGAGTTGAAACAAGTCAGAGAAGTCCCTATCTTGGAATTTCTTCTTTAGTTCAAAACTCAAACACCCTTGTGCCAGCTTGACGAACTCCCTCTCCATCAAATTGACAAAGCAATGGTTATGAGCATTCATGAAGTTAGTTTAGA